TGACGGGATGATCAAGGCTGCAAAAGTAAGGAATGAAAGTTGAAGACGTTGTGATCTCTACACTAGCGTAGCTAGACTAGCAAATCTCTGGGCAGTTTACAAAGTGCATCTGACTTGAACACCGTTGCTGCCAAGGAATGCGAGGCGGGGATAAGGCTGGTCAGCACGGATGCTGGTGAAGGGCTGTTGGCCAGCCTTCAGCAGCCTCCGCTGGCGAAAGCCTCGGCACAACCCACACACTCTGCGAGGCAGCATTGGTGTGTGATCCGGAGCTGTTGAACCGTACATGCTGTTGCACATTGAGTGGTGGCATCTGGTGGATGTGCGGTCCACAGGAGGGTTTCCAGAAATCACGCCCTGGAGCTTACGTCGTGCTTGATTCCCGAAGACACCACGTCAGGCGAACTCAGAAAACAGCACGGCGCACCTCGTTCCATACCGGTTTACTTTTAGTTTCATCGGGGCCCTCTGCCCAACACATTGCTGTGATATCGTATGAGGCTGTGACGGAGCGGCCACAGAAGGTCGCACCTGCATGCACACTAAGATCTGCCACTGGCTGTGAATTCAAGTGACCACAGGAGAGTCCAATCCGCTTGTATGTAGCTACCGTAATTAAGGAGCCAGATGACCCAGATCAGGCCAAAAAGGCCACTGGCCCCAACATGGCTCCCAAGCCCTGCTTCCCCCCGACTTCACGCCAGCAAAGCGAAATCCCATTTAATTGGGCCCTTCTCAGCCCTCAACTGCACAGCACCTCTATCCTTTGAAGGGTCCGTAGTACCGTGCAGCCGCGGCAGAGTGGGACCACCTCGCGCAAAGGCTGACTTGAATTGAGCTATAGCTTCAACTCCTTGGATCCCCTTAATAACCCCTCTGGGAGTCCCCGAAATAATCTCTCATCTCTCCCCTTATTATAGGAGTTTAAACAAATGAGCCCCAATCCTCTTCAGGGCTGGTTTTCGGCAAGCCCCTCCCCAGCATTTGAGATCCCTCAAGCCTCAAGTGACTCAAGTATCCTGAAAATGCTCCGGAAAAAGAGGCACTCTCCCTTCCTACATGTTCTCTACATGCTTCCCATCTCCTTGCAGAAGCCCAGACATCAGTTCGCTGATTGCAGCACAGGCGCTGCGACAGGCAGCATCTCTCCATCCCAGCCTACAAGTGCCACGCAGAGCTCGGCCTGGCGCTCCCTCTGCTCTGGGCCAAATGAGCTATAGTCTAAGCTCCTTAAAGGGGGCATATTATAGGGACTACTGGAAGATATTTAGGGGGATACTAGGAGTTTAGACTATAGTTCATATGTCCATGGTTCAGGCTTGGGGGTCTTAACCTGGAGGAACATATAGGGATTCTAGGGGAATACATGGGGGATACAAGAGACTCAACAAGTTGTTCTGGAAAGAGATTCTGCTTTCCATGTGCCCAAGCCAACAGGCAAGCCATGGGCAGTCAACCGCTGAGCTTGCCCCCCCCTGAACTGAACAGCAATGTGTGGTCTGTAGGCACTTTTCAGGCCAGTGGGCATGCGAAAGGAAAGGGAATCTTCCGGCCTCGTCGTTCAGGCCTGATCATGGCATCGGGTTTTGGAAATGCATGAGGCCAGATATAGCGACTTTCACACATCCCTTCGTGATCTAGAATAACAAGCTCTGGAAATCATGGTTCACAGCTTCATACCTGAGCATGATGTAGCAAGCTTCGTGGAACCCGACATGAACTCTCCAACCCGGGGCGTTCAGCACTTTACTATATTGCATGGGATGGCAGGTTTGCTACTGAAAGCATCATGAGGCATGCTTCAAGTCAGATGTTCTGCCCTTCTAGCCCAGGCCCGGACCTGATAGGCATCGGATAGGGGACTTTTGCTTGATCCTGATACGCGGAAGCTGTGGCTCCTTCACTAGGTCCCAGACCCATGTTGGGCACGAGGCTGGCCATGTTTGCGCACGGCACTTGGCCTGGCTCAGCAGAGCTGTGAATTGTTACTCTTCACATAGCGGAAAGAAGCGGACACTCCCAGTTCACACAGCGGCTACCCATCTGCAGCCTTATGCCATGACACTTGGCTGACAGACCGTGCAATCAGGTCTATGCAGTATGAGAAAGCTTGTGGGCCGGGCACAAACAATCTGAAGACACAAGTGTGGCATAGAAACACAAAGATCAGTCTGAACCGCTCTTGTCGTTCTGCGGGGGTCTTCACACTTCGGGCTCCTCCAACAGGGGGGTTGGAACTACACATGCGCCACGAAAATCTCTTCTGCACAACGTAAACCCTGCATCACCTGCTGCTACCAACTTCATTCCCCAGAAGTCCAACCTATGAGTGTGACTTTCATGCTACGCCCAACAATCAGAACTAACTAGGAAAATCCTGGCAAACTGCATGACCATTACCAGAATCAAACAGTCATGGGCATCCCGATGCCTGAGACATTTCTCAACACCCGAAAATGAAAGCCTGCAGCAACCAATTGCCAGTCGGCACCGCCTCAGTCTTTGGCTTGAAGAGTGTGAGACATGTTGCGATTGGATGGTCTGATCAAAGGTTGACGTGTTCGGGTTGTAAGAGGACTGGTTGTAAGAGGACTGCGGCAGTGGGCTTACAACCTCAAGCTACGGTCATCCAGGACAATTACGCTATGCCTGCTTCCGACATCAAAGCAAATTCCTCTTGGGCAGGGGTTCCAAGCCTCTGACGCATGTGCCCATCTAATCCCTTCTCATTTTCCCCCAATTAATATTTTCCCCCTCAAGCAGTTAGAATATGGCTTCTACTTAAAGGGGACTATAACCGCCCAAAGAATCATTTGTGCCCTCCCCCGCTCACAGAATCCAAGATCCCAGAAGACTACGTTTCAAACGGCAAACAGGGGGACCCCTTCGGGGGTGGGGGTATGTGGAGGGTCCCCGAAATATGCGGCCCGCCTATTCGCATATCATTCCATATCATTGAAGTGCTGGGGGTCCCTTGACCACATTGCCATGAGGGAGTTGGCACAACAATCTGGCCTTGAAACTGAGGATTCCCGCCAATTCCCGCCTATTTTTCCTACCCCCACCCAACACTGGTAGAATCGGCGTGGGAATAGGAGGCGCCCATAGTGACATACCCCCCCCAACCGCCTATTTCGAGGGGGGGTCCCTATCGGCAAACATTACTTGTAAAGCACGCCGAAGGAAACGAGGACGCTCTTGATGACGAATTTGATGAGTTGAGGGGCTTCTGACATGATGAGGGGGGTCAAATGAAAGAATAATCAAGGGATTGACGTAAAACCATCTAACAGACATCTGGTTCAAATTAGGGCCCCTCCTTGATTTCCTATCTGTATTGCTTTACAATCACGTTCAAGACTACAGAATCTAACACAACACTAATTCGAGTATCTTCTAGATCCTCCTCCGTTTGCACTTAAACTAAATTAAGATAATATGGGTAAATAGTAATAATGTGGTTTCCTTAACATAGTGACTTAAGTTCCTGAGCAGCAACCCAGTCATTGTTTGTGTAAGGCTTGTGTTGGCTTCTGAGGCTACCATTGGGTCACGGGCAATACAAACTATGGTGGAAAAGAAATCGGCCTCTACAGTTTTCACAGATAATACCAGCTAATACCGCCGAAGAACTCCAACCTAACAATGAAACCCTCCACGGAATCGTTTATTGTTCGGGGGAAGCGGTTACAGAAGGTCGTAGGATTGTATGGTGGAAAAGAAATCGGCCTCTACAGTTTTCACAGATAATACCAGCTAATACCGCCGAAAAACTCCAACCTAACAATGAAACCCTCCACGGAATCGTTTATTGTTCGGGGGAAGCGGTTACAGAAGGTCGTAGGATTGTAGTCCTACGTAAGAACAGATGCCTTTTTTGCTTTGGATTCGTGTTTGTGTGCATGCACTACCCAGGGCAGTATGCCTTTGGCATGGCCTTGCCCCGCTAGCCGCCTTGGCCCTGCAAGACGGCATCTCATTTTACTCGGGCCCCTGGAGGCCCACGACAATCATCCCAATAATATCCCAATATACTGTAGTAGTGTCCATTTTCTTTCTATCACCCCATTATACTATGATTAAAGCCTGTGTAACCCTACATTACCCATATAACCCCTATTAAAACCCTATTAAAAGGTAACGCCCCAAACTTGCCCTGCTTCTCCCACTTGCCTAGGCCTACTCTACAGGCTTTCCAAAGATGAGAGGCTTGCTAGTTCTGCACTGGCCTGTTCTGTACAAAACCTTGCAGCATCCGCAGTCTCCCAGCTATGGTGGCTGAAGAAGGGGACAGGGTTTAGGGTTTAGAGTTTAGGGATTAGGGTTTAGAGTCTAGGGATCCCAGTTTAAGGTTTAGGTTTTAGGGTTTAAGTTAGTCAGGGGTCTGGGCGGTAGGCTTTGCTTTCTGAGCTGACCTACTCTTGAGGCGGCCCCTCCTTCAGACCCTGTGCTGCTTCAGCGCCAAAAACCATTCGGCAGCCCAACTCAAGCCCTAAGTCCAGCCTTCGGTCTTTTATATTGGGCTAATGGAAAATAAA